AGTTTTATTCGGAATAATTTAATAAGAGATTATAAAAAAATTTCTTTTTAAAGGTAAATTATGTCAAATTAATTCAAAGATTCGTAAAATACCAAAAAAATCGAATGATACGCCAAGTGGTTGGAAACCATTAGTTATAATTATTCCATTAAGATTAGGTTTGACGAATGTTAATACGGAATATGTTGATCAACTTAAGGTATGAAGTTAAAATGATTATTTCTTTTTTTTTAGCATGTAAACATTAAAAATAGAGAGTTTTTATTAAGTAGAATTTATGTCATTTCTCGACTTGGAAATAAATGCTTCAAATTTAGTTTAATATTCTTTCATCGTGGAGAATTTCAAGATAGATACTATTGAATTCTACAGAGAAAAATATTGAATTTACTCTCTCAGATTATATTATCATAAGACATAAGCAATTTATTTGAACTTGTCTTTCTCATTGACGAGAGAACATCATTGCTCAATCAATTGTCTCTAACTCTCATTTGACACATATTTTTTGTAGAACATACCAAAAAGCTAAGCTCCTTACAGAGTTGATAGATGAGATAGACACCATTTGCAGTGTCACATCAAGTCATAAACACAGAAGAACACGACAATACGAGTTGATAGGAAGTTTGATTGTACGAATAATTCAAAAAATTATATTTCGTTATCTCTATAACGCTTTTAGAGCTATTACACATAAAAGCGGTAGCCGAGTTTTCTCAAAAAATGCGTCGACTCAGAGAATTAAAGATTCTTCGGAAAAATATTAACTTTATTGGAACTGACTTTCTTGTTTTTTTTTTAATTCAAGCTATGTTTTCGATTGCCTCAAACACTTGGTTGTATTGGTGGTAAACCTAATCATGCACATTATTTCATTGGTTATTTAGGTAATGAAAATGTTTGTTTGTTTATTTTTATTTTTGTATTTATCTTAATTTATTTTTCATTTTAGAAACTGATGAACTTCTTTATCTTGATCCACATGTAACACAACAACATATTGATACAACTGTAACTGCTGATGATATAACTTATCATTGTGACCGAGCTAATAGAATGAAATTTTCTGGTCTTGATCCTTCCTTGGCTTTAGTAATATTATTTTTCTTGAATTTTGTATATTTTAATGTATACTTTCATAGGCTTTTGCATGTAAGACCGAAGCTGAATTTGATGATTTAATTGCAAAATTAAAACAAGTAAAAAAAACTAAAATATCTTTTATTTAAAATATCATTTTTTTTTTTCATTAGAATCTTCCGTCGAAACCAATGTTTGAAATATGCCAATCTAATCCATTTGATGTTCGTAATCAACAAGTACATCATCATGAAGGTAAACATATTAGAAAAATAAGTCATACAATTTATTGATTTGTATCTTTTTTACTATTCTAGTTCTAACGTTGGATTCGGATGATGATTTTGAAGTTGTATAACATCGTTTTTTTTTCTTTCCTCGCAGCCATATATATATATGTTTTACTGTATAAATAAAAGTTCCTTATAAATATATAAAAGCATTTTGTTTTTGTTTTTAATAAAGATATTTTTGATGGCATTAATTAATCATTATCTAGCGTGTATTGGCAAATTAACATAATGTTATTACTAAACATTCTTAAAGGGTTTATTAAATTGATATTTCCACTGAAGAAGAACAAACATGACAGTTGATATAATGTTTTTCTACATGAAATAGTAAGGTATATCCATCGGTTGAATAAATTTGTTTTTCTTTTCATTCGATCGCAAACGATCTATTCGTCTTGAGAGACATAAAATTACGTTTATCATTAATTAGGTTTTTTTTCGCAGTTATACAGCTGTTTTATCTTTATAAAGTTGGGAGTCTACTTATCATAAATTTCAGTTTTTGAAAAATGAATCGTTGCGAAAGATGATATGTTTTATGTTGCACGTTTGTTTGCACTACCGTCGGTATAGCACACGTTATACTGAACGGTCTACCGACGGTTTTCATTTGCTTTGAATCACATGGGATGGTTAAACGCTTGCAAAGGCATCTATTTTCGGATGAAAATCAAGTTTTTCTTTACCAGGATCATGTCGGTATCGTTAGTCTTCGTCTTCTTTTTATAGTGCTAGGACTATTTGTCGCAACACATGTTAGTCTTAAAGTATTCTGAAGCAGGATCGGTAAGTGGGTGGGTGGCTTGAAATACCGATGAGGGCATACAAAAGATTCTTATTCATATCGACAATCACATCGTATCCTTTCTCTCGTCGTCTTAGTCAGATATCGTATCTGAAATTTGACTCAATTGATTCAGTATCATTTTTTGGCAACGTTTTGAAAAGTTCATGTAATTATATTTTTGAAGAAAATAGTGAGGGCAAATTTAAATCGGCGTTTCTGGTTCACAGACTCTAGCAATCAGGATCAAGAATGATTGAGTGAGAATTTCTCCATAGCAACCGATGACAACGGATGTCCAACTCTTTTTTCTAAGTTCACTAGCAACGAGAAAAAGCGCTCAGCAACACTAATGACAAGACTTATACTGTTCTAGAACATTCTAAAATCTTCCTCAAAATCTGAATGGCTGAAATACGTTTGTAAATGTTCTAAATAGTGTATCTTCTCATTTTTGCAGAGATAAAAAATTATATGATAGATGGCAACGACGATGGGTAGTAATTGGATATGCGCGGTGGGACCAAAAATTCTTCTGGTTTGGATGAAAGATTTGCGTGCCATTGCAATAAGCTTACTGTTACACTTTTATCTGATGCCATATATTGTACAGAATTGTTTGCTCTTTCAGTCTATATATTTTAAAGTTTATCACTGACTTTCATCGTCAATTAATCTCACAAATACAAAGACCGAGATCACAACTGTGAAACCAATTGGAACTAATCTGGCCTTGGTCTTGGTGTTTTTAAATTAATAGACAATGATCATCTGAGATCAGATTATAGTGTAACAGTGAATTTATCACAATGACACGCAAGTCTTTCATCGAAACTAGAAAAATTTTAATCTCAGTATCAATTTCAAGATGTGATGCATGGCTTTGCCATAGTCGTCATATGATCAACATGAAAAGCGGGAACCGATTAAGTTATAACTTTGGAGAATAATCAATATCAGTGTTTCTGAACTTCTAGAGATATATTAAAATGTGCTAAATCTTGGTGTTGATGTAATGGATATATACAACAGGCTTATTTGCCAACTAAATCAATGATTAGAATGATAATAGTGTTAAATTAAGAATAACAAAAACTAACGAGCGAATAGGAGCAAGAAACACAATAAATAGAACGACAGTAAACGAAGAAAAAGAAAAAAATTCCGTTCGAAATGCAAAAAACAAATAAAATAAATCGTTTTCCTGGGGATCGATTATCCTTGAAAAACAACTACAGTCTACTAAAACTTTTCTACTTTACGTATTTTATAGAAGTATAGTAAAGTTAAGAAGCTCAAGTGAGGTCAACATTTTAATTCAAAAGTAGCTGCTCTGTGGTGTCCTGCAAGAGCGATTTTTTCCGTCCTATATTCTGCGAGAATCGACAATGGGAATTCTCATGAAGATTTTGGAGATAGGAACAATATTAAAAGCTGTTAACATAATTCCTGCAAGAATAAAATGTGAAACACGATGTGGTTGTTGTTGCTAATCACAGGAAGGTCATTTTATTCTACCCATTTTAGTACACATATAAAAAAAGACGTTATTGATATACGGTCATTGATCGTATATCAACCTGGGGTCCAAGTTGCTACCGCTATATACTTCAGCATTTCTTTTTAAGTCGTGTTTCGCAAGAACGGACACTCCTAAAAATAGTTTTGCTTTGTTTTCATGTATGTCCCTTTCAAACAGAAAAATAACAAATATATTTTCGTTGCTATTATCATTTTCGTAAAGACTATTATTCAGATTATCTCGCACTATAGCATTATTATTAACTTCTTCTTCTCTTGAATGTTTTCGTTTATTCGTGGGTGTTGTTGATGTGCTAGTATTTTTGTCTTTTGTTTTCAATTCATGAAAAATAAACTCGTTATATGAATTCTTTAACACTAAGGGAACAGAAATGCGGAAACTGAGAAAAGTCGTTCAGGTAAGGCATTACTGAGCTGACAATTTTTTTCTTACACTTGACAACCAATAGCGAGACACGTTTTTAACTACATCATGCTGAAAAAAATTCCTAATAGAATTATAAGTGGCATAAGAAAGAAATATTTTCTTGTTTACATAGAACGAAGAAAATATAAAAAAAGCAAAACAATCGTGTCTATGTGCGCAAAAATTTAATATGGAGTACTTGTCAATGTGTCTGACGATTGCAAGCGAAGAAATTCCCGTTGCTTGAAGTTCACCGTGAATATTACTATTTCTATCCTCATCATTAATGGCTTTGCCTAATATTCGACCTATTCAATACAATGATTGGTCAACGACATCATACATGTCACCAGAATTGAATTATGAAGATGTGACTCTGATGTGGTTGGATGAAAATATAAATGAAAATTTTGATTGCTTAGATACAAAATTTTGTCTAAATACAATTGTTAACTATTTCAAAATATTTGACAATGTTCAAGAAACTGTTGATTATGTTCGATCTGCATTGAATGAACATTTATTTTTAATTGTTTCAGGATCATTAGGCGAAAACACTAATGTCCTACATCTACAATGAATCTCAATTGAAATTTATTTATGTATTTTGTATGAATAAAGAGAAACATTCGGAATGGACGTATAAATATGAAAAAATATGTGGTATTTTTATTGACAAATATGAACTTTTTCATAATTTGTCAACTAAAGTTCGATCATATGAAAAAAACTTATTGACCATGAGTATATTTAATAGAACACATATAACAACTGAAGAAAATTCCATTCGTGATTATATCATCGAAGAAAATGTTAGCTTAATGTGGCTTCAAGCATTCTTTGATATTCTACTTTACGTATTCCACTCGATAAAGATCTCGCTAAACAAGATATGATTGCAGAATGTCGATTATATTATAAAAATAATCCATTAGAATTGAAAAAAATTGATGAATTCGAAAATAATTATTCTCCTGAAACAGTTATAAATTGGTATACTCGTGATTCATTTGTCTATCGATTAGTAAACAAAGCACTTCGAAAAATGAATATTGATATTATTTTCAAATTTCGATTTTTTTATTATTGATCTATATCAACAATTGAAACAACATCATAAAGATTACATTGAATCTTTATCAATAATTGATTCTAATAAAATAATACATACAGTTTATCGCAGTCAACATATGGGAATCAATGAATTAGAAAAATTAAAATCTAGTGTTGGTAATCTCGTTTGTCCGAATTCATTTTTTTCGACAACAGAAGATCTTTTATTAGCACAATTATTTGTTGCAGGTAGTTGTAATTCCGAATGTGTCTTATTTCGAATTGATATTTCTGATTCGTATTATCATAATGTAATTAATACATCAAAATGTACATGTCCATTTTTAAAATTAGAACATTTAAGTCAATATCAAAGTGAAAATGAAGTCATCTTTTCGATGGGAGCATTATTTCGAATTGAATCTATTGAAAAATATGATATGTGGTATGTTTGTCTAAAATTTGAAGGAGAAAATGATGAATCAGACGAAAATTTTAACATAACTGAAGAATTACAAAACGGAAAATACGATTGGCAGGATAGATGTAATGTTGAAGATCGAATTCTATTATTAACTGAAAAATTTCCACAATCATCTAGAAATATTGTAAATATTTATATTAAATATGGTGTTTTTCATGACATAAATAAATTAACAAGTGAAGAAACTTTAACTACATATCGAAAAGGATTTGAATTATTAACGAAATGTTTGCCTAATTATAATTATTCAATTACTGTTGCTATGTATTTGAGTATTGGTCTGTTATATTTTTATAGAGGTGAACATATTTTAGGTATGCAATTCGGATAAGCAGCACTTCATGTAGCCGAAACTTATTTATATTTTGATCATAATAGTTCACTTATTTGTTATAACTATCTTGCCGTAATTCATCAATTAGAAGATCAATACACAGAAGCATTGTCAATTTATGAAAAAATATTATCAATTGCAATTGAACAAGATAATATATCGGCATTACTCGCTATTTATAATGACATAAGTTGTATTACTGGTGACTTTGATAATTATGACTACCAAATGATATGTTTAGAAAAGATTGTAGAAATTAGAAAAAAATTAGGTTGCGAGACTTTAGAAGATACTTATTATAATTTTGGATCGTGCTATGAAAGACAAGAAAATTTCGGTATGGCATTATATTATTACAAACAATATTTTCTATGTTTAATGAATAACAATGCACGTATGATTGATTTAATGAGAATCTATTCTCAAATCGGAAACATGTACGAAAAATATAATTATTATATTGCAGCTTTACAAATTTACATTCGTATTCTTATGATAGAATTAACCCCACTACCGTTGTATCATCGTTCACTATTTCATAAATATGAAAATGTAATTAAATCTATTCAACGTTTAATTAAATGTAAATATTCAAAAAAATTGAAACACTATTTTCAATTATTAATTTCAAGATCATCCTCTTCAATTCTTTTTACCAAATTTATTAAAAAAATTAAAATTCTTTTCTATTTCGAATTAGATCATCCGAATTCATTAAAAACATCTTTAAATATATTACTCAAACGAGTTTTAATAGAGTACAACAATCGAAGAATGTATGAAAATTCTTTGAAGAATTTACAAAGACTAAGTAAACAATTTCTACAAATAAGATCACCATGTTTTGCAAAAATCTATTACAATACACAAATGTTACAAACATTACAATCAACATTAGATGATTATCGACTATCTCTTTATTTAATTCAACGAGCTTATTTTTCAACCTCTTATGTTGATCACTGTGAAGCACGAAAAAGTTATTCATCCACTAAAAAATCTTCAACTGATATTGGACGAGTGATTAATGCATTTACTCGTTCTTCTCATGCAACTCTGTGCCAAAATAGAATACGACAAAAGCCTTGGCATCGTCATCGATCGTCGTGGATTTATAAATACCGATTTTGTGGATGTTTCAAGGATTCATCTGCATTATGGAATCGCTGTACAAGACGATGGGTTAAATTTTGTAAGATTTAAGCTGCCAAATAAAGTAATAACATCTTCCTAATTATTAGGCAATAACAAATGTAACTTACTTTGACTTTCGGAACTTAAGAAAAGATCCATGGTAGAAATCGAGCATTTTTACACTGACGATACTCGGCAAAAAATTGATCGTTCTTTTCTATTATTCGAAAAAACTCCGTCTTTAGAAAGATAAATTTTGCTTTTCAGTCTTCTATATTGGACTTATCCTAAATTCTTACGAACGAACTGAACAAAAGTTTTTCGACAAAATATTTCATTTTTCGTTTTTTTTCTTCATTATTGTTCAAAAAATGTGACAATGTTTTCTTGGATAGATCTCGATGCATATGATTGGAAAATATCTTATATGATAAAGGAGAGTTTGGTGTATGAAATTGTAGATTTGACTTTTTCTAAGTTTTCTATTCTAAGATGCAAACAGCTCAAAAATTTTTAATGAGGTAAAAGATTTCTAAAAAGTTTCTCGAGTAGCTTTTTTGTTTCCATGCGCCATTTGTTCCGGGTGCCTGTATGAGTTAAGGTAAGAATTAAAAGCAAATCGATCGAAACCCACATTCACATCCTTCTTTCATGTTTCAATATAAATCTTTTTGATGGCATTACCAATCATAACTTAATGTATATTAACAAATGAACTTAATGCTATTTAAACATCTTTAAAAACTTATTAAATATATACTTAGGTCATACCAAAAGTATTGGCAGTGATACTCTATTTTTGTATGCTATTTGATCATACTTCAACTAATATCATAATAATAAACTTTCGATAAGATTTGTTTCGCTATGCCATGTACCTGGTAGTACTAGTGCCTATTTAGTGGATAGTTTTTGAATAAAAGATAGAGAGCTGCAGTTTTCATTGCTTGAAAGAAGAGATGAATATGCATCAAGACATATATTACAGATTTTTTTGACATGACTTTTTTTTAAAGGTTTTCAATCAATCTCTTTGAAAACAAACCTACTCGTGAGGTGTTTACAGTGAATTCTCAAGCGTCAGATGTGTATTGAAACCGCCGATGGAAGAACTACAAGACTGCACAAGGTTTAGAATTAAACATTCAGAAGTAATAGACACTCTAATCAAAGTTTTAATTGATTTTTCTGGTGATTTCTATAAAAGAAATTTTTGCTATTATCTATTTCATAAGAAACCATTTTTACACACTTAGAAAACTGACTAAACATACATGAGACCGTATACTAGGAAAACGTATAATATATGATTCGATACATCTTTATCTCCTCTTTCGAACGATGAAAACTGAAGCTCTCTATTTTGTTTCTATCCGAAGCTATTTTAAAAAAATATCACATAGGCAATAGTACTACTGGGCAAATATCATAGCGAAGCAAGTCTTGTCGAAAGTTTATTATTATGATATTGATTGAAATATGATCAAATAGCATAGAAAAAAAGAGCATTCTTTTTTCTATCAGATTATATAGAAAGAAAGTTTCTTAAAGCTTACTATACGGTATTTCGGTGTCACTGCCACTACTTTTGATGTATGTCCTAAATATTTCCACTGAAGAAGATCAAACAGTACAATTGATATAATATTTTTCTACATGATATAGTAATGCATGTATCTCGTATCTATCGGTTTCAATAGCGTTTGTCTTATGGCAAACATGGAAATAGGACATTGATATGTTGAAATTTGTTCAAAGTCGTTCCACTGTAGAGATGCAGAATGGGTCATAGATCACCTATTCTTCTTGAACGGCATCAAAATTGTATCTATTGTTAATTTCATTTTTTTGACAGTTTTTGCTGTCATTTTATCTCTATAGAGCTGGGAATCTACTCATCATGAATTTCGTTTTTCGAAAAACGAATCCTTTCGGAAGATGATACATTCCATGTTGCCCATTTGTTCACATTACCGCCTATTGGTGAATAACTATCGATATACCATGGTAGAATGACCATCAGAAGATATGTACTGCCGGTATAGTGCACATTATACTGAACGATCTATCAACGGTTTTCATCCGGTTTGAATCATATGAGATGGTTAGACGCTTGCAAAGGTGGCTTTGTTCGAATAGAAATCAAGTTTTTCGTTTCCAGGATGATGTCGGTATTCCTAGTCTTAGTCTTCTTTTCATAGTGCTAGGACAATTTGTCGCAGGACATGTTAGTCTTAAAGTATTCTGCAGGAGCATTGAAAGTGGGTGGTTGGATTAGGATGTCGACGACGGTATAGAAAATATTTTCATTCACACCGATACTCACATTTTTGACGTAGTATCCGGTCAGTATTTTTATTACATGGAATCATTGGTTTTGATTCCGATTTGAAATCACTCATTCCAATTGTTGAAGTTTCATCCAGATGGAAGATTATAACAAAAACTGTAGGTTTCTATGTTTCTATGTATAATTGATAAGAAATTATTTAAAAACGGATGTGCAATGGACTTTTTTCATTGACTATTACTTCTAATAAAGTGTTTAGCATGAAGATCATGTTATGTATGAGTTTGTATCAGAAATAAAATAATTCTAGGAAAACTTTTTTTACTATGACTGAGTCAAAAACGACACAACAGGAGGTAAAGAGCCTATGGAAATTTATACCAAGTGATTATTCTGAATACTAAAAGAATATATTTTTAACCTTTTTGATTATTTTGTCTAAATTATATCGTAGAAATATGTCAATTGTTTGATGTCTTTAATATTCTTTCAAAGAAATATTGATCTACAGAATAGTAATTGTTCATTAGAATCTTTTCAAATCGTAACTTATACAACGTCTATACGTATTCTATCTGTAGTCTACAATTATTCTTAATTATAAATTTAAATATTCAAGAAGAAAAACACATTGAATTATGCATGAATTAGGTTTAGTCAAGCAGAACTGAATACAGATTTAGAATTCATCTATGCACTTAGGATGAAATTCATTTTTAAAAGCTTATATTTTTGGTAATATTTTCTTTATCTCCGATGATAGTTTTTCGCGTATCAAATTTGTTTTAATGGATCTCAATACTGAAGTTTGCCTCGCGAGATCTCGCTGATGTTATTCACAAGGAGGCCATTATAAATATTTATTTTCAAGATGTACACTACTCGGATAGTCGTAGTGTGTGGTGACATTGTGCGCGTGAAACTCATTTTAGACAAAAATAAAATATATGATTTAGTAGAGCATCTGAAAAATGCTATTTCTATTGTATATTTGTTTTTTCTTCTGTAAGGATGTGAACCAAGTGTCGCCACTGGTAGTGCATCATGTAGTCAATTGGTGATTCTATTGTCCCATCAATGAAAAGTAGAGCTCGAATTTCGATTTTCTTTGAAAAAATTTTTGTATAGTCTATGTACACATCCAGATGAGTCATCGAATCAATGTCGAAATGTACTTTCTGGTTTTTATGAGGCATCAGAAGATAAAAATACGATGGAAATACTTTAAAATAAATTCTCTTTCAAACTGCGTTTTTATTTTTTCAATAAAATTAGTCTCACGCATTTGAGAGCGTAGAAGAACTATGCAACATTAGATGTCGCACAATTCAATTTCATATTTTTTGTCTATAACTCCGAAGTTTTAATTCATCAGAAGAAATTAATAGCATAAATGTTCAATGTTATTTTTTTTCTTTATTTATTATAAAAATGGACTCTTAAAAATCAGTCTCACCGAAGTGCATTAGTGGAAAACAGTTCGACATTGATTGGCAATTCCAGCTATGTTTTTTTTCACCAGATCACGTACTAGTATATTTTTTTATTCATTCTCCATTTGATAGATATATTATCTGTAGATGATTGATGTATAATTGTGTAGTACAGCTCATCTACAGATTACACTAACAACATATACATATTCTTTGAAAAAGAAAATCAAAATCCAAGTTCTACGTCTAATTGATGGAACTACAGTTACATTTTTTTCGTTAGATAACACACTAAATGAATATTATTAAATATTTTATGTTTTCATTGTGTCGTCGATTACTATTAAGGATTTTACATTGGTATTCTATTCGTCGTTTAGTTGGTGCAATTATTTTTATACCAATTTTTTTATCATTTTTTCTTCTATTTTTTTATTCCGTATTAACCTATTATTTAAATTATTGTTGTTCACATTCATCAAATATTATTGTCTCATTAACAAGTACTCCAAGACGATTTCATTATGAATTACCATTTACTATTCATTCCTTATTGACTCAAACAAAATTACCAATAGAAATCCGTATTTATTTATCACCAACGATTACTATCATAAGTCAAAAAAATCTAACATTAAATCATTTAAAAATGTACGTAAAACATGTCGATTCATCGATAATTATTGCCAAATTGTTTGATAAACTAGTAAAAATATATCTCGAAGAAGAAGATTATGGTCCGGCAACAAAATTTCTACCTATTTTAAAAGAATTTCATGTATTAACAACAAATCAATTCAAATCACAAGCGATTATGATTTGTGATGATGATCACTATTATCATCCTCATACTATATCTGCATTACTTGAATATTCAAATAAATACAAGAATAATATTGTTGGATTCAGAGGATGGCGAAGTAAGACTTTCGTTTATTTTTCCTCACCAATTTTCTACCAAATCTAATTCATTTTTACAAAAATCTTTCAATCGGCCTCATAAGTTATGAACCCTCTGCTTCCATTTTTATCGACCTCGAAACACACATGAAGATTATTCATACATACAATGTATAGATTAGAATAATTTCAAAGTCAACAACTCAATAGATTAAAGAGTGTTTTATAATAACTAATGATAAATTGTCAACGACATTTTGCATACGTTTTCTTCGCATATAAAGTTGAAATTTTTATGGCAAACATATCTAACCAAAATCTTTAATTTTTCAAAGTTTCAATTCTCTATCTAAAACTACTACTAAAATACATAAATAAGATTAACATACATGAATTATTGAAACTAAATTTTTCTAATATTTTTACTACGTAGTAAATCACTACAA